CAGGCATCGCGCGCATTCCCGCCTAATCCCAAGAAAATTGTTGCATTGAAACCTTCGCCAAGCTTGTCTGCTAAGTTTGCGATTACGTGACCATCCATATGGCCGTAGTTTTCCATGAGGCAATGAATGGTGGCAGCTATACGCTCGTGTGGATCGGTACCACTTTTTTCACTTGATCCAGTTTAGCGTTTTCGACCTCGACCAACTTTGACATCGCTTCACCAATAATTGACCCAGCCGATCGTTGTTCTTTTTGCTGACGCGGCTTCTTCTTTCGGGGCATCATATTGTCGGAATCGTCCGAATCGCTGCTGATGTCATCGTCCAGGGCAGAAACTTTGCGCCCTCCACGTCCTTTGGTCACTGGGGCTTGTTGATATTCCTCGAAATCCATGCGATCACTTTGCATGTATTCGCCCGTCGGTGGGTAAACATCGGCCGGCGGAAAAACGTCGGCACCGTTGATAATGTTGTTGTGGCCATATGAACGCATATATTAGAATGATTCATAGTGCAGCGGCAGTATCATTACGCAGTCTACACGAGACTTCAGTTGTGCTGGCAAGTAGTTGACCCCATACTCGAGGTTGAACGCATTACACACGGCTCGCCAGGCCTCCTTCTTGAACCCGTTGTCAGCTCGTTTGCCGGAGTCAGCTTGGGCTTGTAGCTGCGTGACAAGAAACAAATCGCGGGCGTGCGACCAGGTGGCACGGCTGTCCTTCATTCCCAACGATGTTGCCATTTCGAATTGTTCTGAAAGAAAAGAAGTATCACGTGTCTGGCAAAAAGTGCCAATATTTTCACACAAAATGGAGTTTTCGTCGTTATTCAATAATTACTGATTGAGATGTTTGCCCCCGCACAAAATGCCATTTTATCCTCCAACTGTTACCAGACGCGCTCTTAGACGATTTCGCTGTATAAATAGATTTCCGCGTCCGGAATAAACTACTTTGCAATAATGCTGTCTGTGGAAGAACTTGTCATGGTTGTCAAGCGTTCTCGCTTCGCGAGGCCTGCCCGTCGTCGCAGACTTCTGCTCACACTCATACCGTCGGTCGACACTATACAAATACACAGAATTATTCTGGAACTTTTCGTGGTTGTCGAGTATCAGGTGGAACGTGTGTGATGTTTTCTTGCTGTCAACTTCGAGTTCCTGGCAAGAGAACCCAGGAACTTTAAGCAAGTTGCACGCGAGCACCCCCCAATACTTCATGACTAGATGTTGGAGGAATGGTCGCTCGTGGTTAGCCTGAATCAACAGCGCCAAGTCATCCTCGCTTGTCCACCTTGCTCATAACACACGAAACCACCGAATGGAACCCCTCCTGTTCGGATAACCTCTATTTCTTATGATTATCCGATTCGGTAATTATTACGGAAACGGACACGGATTACTTTGCGAAATCTCCCTATGTGTAATAAGTCGCTAAGCTTACGGTGTTTCTGTAAACAATACTAGTACGTACTAGTAATTAACAGAGCCTGGGACTACCGGTAGTCGGGCGAGATAATTCTCACCTTAGCCTGGAATACCTTAGCCTGGAATAAATGCCGTTGGACCTGATAAAACCTAAATGACTGGACTTCATCATAATGTATGCCCGCGTGCAAAGTAGAATCGTAGTCTGCAAACTCCCAGGATATTTAAGTACCCCCCCAGTGAATTGAGCGAGTATGACCTCACCAACGCATTTGTAACAACGAACAGTTGCTCATTCGAAAACACCGTTGCGATAAATCAAGGTTGAATCAAATTGGTCAATAACGTTACCTCCATAGTACAATGTCCCAGTGGATAAACCTCCTCGACATCAATTGTTGATTGGTTCAAATTTTCAAGGGATGTACGGACACCGATTGACTGATATTATAAATTTATATCCAATCAGAAGGGCCAGCATCCTTGCCAAAGAGTGGGACTTTTTCAAAAACTATTTTATTACAATGTTCTCCAGTATACAAACGCCTATATAGTTCGTAGTACAACTGTGCCCAATTTTCCCACGTTCTATGTACATGCGCTCTTCAGGGCCTTGAGGAGTACTGTACTTCGAAGTACCACGTAGTATATTATAAACCACTCAACTGACAGTTTCAACCTATCGAGCTTTGGAATTTCGATTAGAACCCACAATAAAACGTCCTAACGTTTTAAGCTTACTGTATCTGAATTCGCCAGTTGGAAGGATATACTACAGTACCTTCGATTGGAAAATGATTGATACTTAGGTTTCACTTTGTTGTGCTTTGAACAATTCTGGTTTAGGGGCCTAATGGTATCTCACTCAAAATTGGTTATTGCCTTAATAATCCGATGTTAATGCTTAGAGAGTCCTGATTAGAGTAGCTTATCAGTGTAGACGTTAGTATGGTCAAAATGAATTCAGGAATGATACTCAATTTTCACTACAGGGAACGACGCTGAGTAACGGCGTGATGAGGACTTGTGATTGGACAGCGAGGCGGTTCGAATTGGCCAATTGAGGATCACAAAAGCAAAATATAAAAAAAGTATCGAATGAATAAATGAGCTGTGAATATAAGATTACAAAGGATATAAATATAAAGCGTAATTTGTACTAGAAAGACATCAATGCCATGGTTTTCAAGTTCTCATTCTTGCAGGAAACTAATTATCACAAGGGATCAAGGTCATATCGCCGCGACACATGGACTGTGGATTTGCACCCCCCATGCCATGGGGACCAACAAAATGTGACATGACCGCTTATAAAAATACTATAATTTAATACTCTATTCACAGTCAAGTAAAGAAAAAAAGTACTAGTATACGGTATGGGTCAATAGAACTACAAGCCATAGAATACACAACTCCCCCTCAGTATCTCCCTTGAACAGACGGATAGGGAGCCGCGCAATGCTCACTCCACGAATCGCGGTATGTCCGTATTGAAATCTTGTGACGAGGCTTCGTTGGCAGCACTGTGGCTGCAGGTAGCACTGACATTCAAGGTTATCAAGTACAGGGAACGACGTTGAATAAGCATGTCGTCCGACAATCTGATAGGACTGTCGTGCATATCAATTTATCCAATCATGTATCACGTCAGATGTATTAAAATAAACGTGGTTCAGAAAAATTGGATCACCTGTATCCATTGTGACAGGATATTGTAAAACAAGGTATAAATGACTACAATCATGAGACTTTGACGGGATTGAGGTAACAAATTGCACAGAAAACAGGTTATCACAGGTACCTGATGGTACAACTTGAACAACGGATGAAATCGTGACAAATGCGACAATGCACACCATGTGGACGAAGTTTCGCCTCGAGAGCGAGGCCTCGACTGACAATAAAGTATGACCGGTGCAAGTCAAAAATTAATATAATTCATAATGAAATCAAGTCATTTTAGAAAATACGGATTGGGTCGATGGTCCAGCCATAGGTTCTCTCACATCCCCCCCCAATTTCC